TCTCACACGTGAGATTGTAGGGAATACCTAATATCTAAATCATAATGATAGCCAAAATATCCTAATTACTGTACCTTAGGAATTTGAGGAGTATTTTCCCTAAAGGTTTTAGACAACTAAATTATAGTGTACGTAGATTATGTTATAATATATAAAGAAAATGTTTAGGCATTAAAAGTATTACATTCTTTGCTTATTTTTTCTTAATTGGGTTGTGGTTTTCTTTTTTTTTTCTTTAAATATTTTTTACATGTTGATGGATCTTTATTTTATTCATTTATGTATACGTGGTTCTGAGAACCGAACCCAGTGCCTCACATATGCTAGGCCAGTGCTCTATCACTGAGCACAACCCCAGCCCAGTTGTGCTTTTCCTATGGCTAAGTTTTAAGAGTTCTTCAATTATTCTAGATACCATTTGTACTTTTGGCTAAATTATTCATCAAGATTATTGACTTTTTAAGTGTCTTACATTCTGTAGCACGTTAAATTTTATGGGAATTGGATCTACTTTGTTTTATGCATGTGTGTATATGTAAGTGTGTACTAGTTTTACAGTTTGGGAGAAATCCAAAATATTGGAATTAAAAAGAACATTAAAAAGTCAAGCTTGAAAGGAACTAAACAGACACTTCACAGAAAGAAGAAATACGATCAGTCAACAAATATATGAAAAATTTTCAACATCTCTAGCAATTAGAGAACTGCAAATTGAAACCACACTGAGATTTCATCTCACTCCTGGAAATTACCAAGAATATAAGTAACAATAAATGTTGGTGAGGATGGTGGGAAAGGTTTACTCACACATGGCTGCTGGGACTGCAGATTGGTGCAACCACCTTGGAAAGCAGTATGGAGATTCCTCAGAAAACTTGGAATAGAACCACCATTTGACCAAGTTATCCCATTCCTCGGTTTATACCCAAAGGATTTAAAATCAGCACCTTACAGTGACACAGCCACATCAATGTTAATAGTAGTTCGATTCACGATAGCTAAGCTATGGAACCAACTTAGGTGCCCTTCAACAGATGAATGGATAAAGAAAATGTGATATATATGCACAATGGAATATTATTGAGCCATAAAGAAGAATGAAATTATGGAATTTGTTGGTAAATGGATAGAACTGGAGACTGTCATGCTAAGTGAAATAAGCCAATCCCAAAAAAACAAAGGCTGAATATTCTCTCTAATATGTAGATGCTAACACACAATAAGCCAGGGGAAGAATAAAAGTTCACTGGATTAGACAAAGGGGAATGAAGGGAAGGGAGAAAGGATGGGAACAGGAAAGACAGTGGAGTGAATGGGACAGAACTTTCCTATGTTCATATGTGAACATGTGGCCAGGGAAACTCCACATCATGTCCAACCACAGAACCGGTAGTTCTACTCCATGTATGTTTGACATATTAAATATACTCTACGGTCATGTTTGCCAAAAAGAACAAATTTTAAAAAGTTTTCAGAAGTTAAACGTGGATTTAGCCACTTTGGGCATTGTATAGACAACACTCATGAGAGGACTTTGAAAGGAGAAACAGATAAAGTTGACTACCTCGGGAGCTAAGGATCAGAGGAGCCACAGGGAGGCCATCCAGGGCTTTCTTTTGATTCCATTTACCCACGACTTGGAGCTGAAGTAGACAGAGGACCAGGAAGACCAATGGAGAGGAACTCCTGATGCGAACCTGCTTTCTCCAGCCACAGGACCAGACGGGCATCCTCCAAGGACAGCCACGTCTTCAGCTGTGGTTTGCCTAGTTTCCACACTTCCAATCACCTGTGGTCTCAATCCATCCCCCGCCCCCCCAGCCGTGGTTCAGCTGGGAACCTGGGCCTCTCCCCGGGTCTGCGTGACAGAAGAAGGTCCTTCCTGCCATGTGCTTTCAGAAGGCTCCATGGAAAGCTGACGGCGACTCAGTAGCGCTGCCCCCTCCCCACCTGGACTGGCGGGAGGGAGAGCGGGCACCTGATCTTCCCCCATTTGGCAGGAAGAGGTCACCTACTCCTCCTCACTGGGGTGTTCTTTGAAGAGTCACAAAGGAGGGGCAGGATTGTCACTTCCATCCAGTGGCAGATAGTCCACCCTCCTTCTATAGTCAGTGAGGCCCCTTTGGGAGCAACAGTGAGACATTTCTGCCTCTTCCAGCCACGGCCTGTTGGGGATCTGGAACTGCTCTCCCTATGCAGGGGGGCAAGGACCCCCTTCCCCTTCCAGTGTCCATGAGAGCCAGGGGACATGGGAGGAATAGGTAGCACCCCTCTTTCTTCTCCGGAGTATTGTCAGGGAAAGGGACAAAACCTGAAAGTTAAAGTACAAAGTCCAGAGTCCTGTGAAGGAATACCCCAAAATCTGCAGGTCAATAAAGAAAATCACTTCTCGTACCAAGAATCAGGAAGATCTCAAGTTGAATGGGAAAAGCTGGTCTGTAGATGCCAATACTAAGATAAAGAAGTGTCAGAATTAGCCAACAAAAAAACTTTTAAAGCCATCATTATAAAGATGTTTCAGTGAACAATTACAGATATGCTTAAAACAAATGGAAAAAAGTCTGAGCAAAGCAAAGATAGGCAGAATAGAAATGTTTGAGCTAAAAAATGCAGTAGACAAAATGAAAAGCTTGCTAGATGGATTCAATAGCCTGGAGCTGCTCCACAGAAGAATGTAAAGGAGTCAGGAAAGAATCTGAGAACCTGAAGATACAAATTAGAAATCACCCTATGTGCCAGGTGCAATGGTGCCCGCCTGTCATCTCAGTGGCTCTGGAGGCTGAGGCAGGAGGATCTGTGAGTTCAAAGCCAGCCTCAGCAACTCAGTGAGGTGCTAAGCAACTCAGTGAGACCCTGTCTCTAAATAAAA